TTCTGTTTTCTCCCCCTGTTCTGGAACTTCTGTCATGCATGGATTTTTGCTTTTGATTGTATCCCACATAATTCTCAGGGTTTCTTCATTTTTCTTTGTTCTTTTTCTGATTTTTCCTCAGAGTTGTATCCAAGTGTTTGTCTTTAATTTCACTGATCCTATCTTCTATTGTTTCAAACCTGCTCCTCAGCCCTTCTGTGACACTGTCTGTTTATGAAATCTTGTTGTTTATCTTTCAGATTTCTAATTGTTGTTTTTGTATGATTTCTAGTTGTGAATTTATTTTATCATTTTGTTCCTGTATTATTTTCTTGAATTCTTCTGTTTTTTGTCTGTATTTTCCATGAATTTGTCTATTTTTTCCTCATTTTTGTCTGCTTTTTGCTTGAATTCTTGGATAATTCTGATTATTAGAGATTTGAATTCCCTGTCACTTAGGCCTAGTGTCTTTTCTTCTACTGGAAGGTCATCTGATGTTTTATTTTGGATGCCCACTGGAACCATCCTGCCCTTTTTTTGTAAATGTTTTGATATTGTCTGTTGTCTTCAGGGCATTCAGTGGTTATTTTCCTTGTTTACTGATTGTAGGTTTGTTTGTTTCATTCTGCTTTTTTGTTTTATTTGGTTATGTCTGAGCAGGCAGGCTCTGCGTTCTTTGTTGGTTGTTCGTCTGTGGGCACGATACTTTTCACCTCCTTCTCCAATGGGCAGGGTCAGTTACTCAGGTATGGTACAGCAGGGAAGGTCTAGCTGAAGGGGAGTTGCTGGGATGGGTTGTTTGTGGCACGTACCAGGGCTGACAGTGCGGACCGGGAATCAGTGCGGGGCAAGTTTCAGTAGGCCATGCCTGTGCTTCTTGGGAGTGTGATGTTCAGCACACGGTGCAGGTAGGCAGGAAAGTGTGTGATGTATGGAGCTAATATGGGTATGGGAAAGATGAGAGAGAGGAGAGAGAAACAGGAGCCAAAAACATACAAACAAAAAAGAGTTCTAATCATGGCAGCATTGTTCACAATAGCAAAACGATGGAGACAACCTAGATGCCCATCAACAGATGAATGGATAAACAAACTATGGTACATACACACAATGGAGTACTATGCAACGAGAAAGAACAACAAT